ATATATATATATATATATATATAGCAAAGAATGTAAATTATGAAAATGGTTTGTGATAAAACAGAGATAAAACAATTTTAACAAATTTCTGTACAACCTCTTACTTCTAACAGAACGCCATCGAGGGAAATGGAAAATGGTAGAGGGAGAATTTGAGATGGTGGGCAGGGAGGTATTTGGCATGCATCCCAATTTCGAAACAGCAAGCAAGGCAATCCTGTCAGGGGGGGGGGTGACTCTCATATGTAACCAGTGCTGTCTTTATAAGGCATGGGCCCACTGGGCACTGGCCTTCGGCCTCAGGCTTGTAAGGGGCCTTACGCTTCTAGAAGACACTGGGATTTTATCGTTTACTTCAATATTAAGGGCCTATTTTAAGACGATTTTGTTGCCCTTTATTATTGGCACCACAGGTGATTTATCCTCTCTCCACTCCTTCATACGTCCCTGAGTATATAGAGGGTTAGGGGCCTCAGTGCGTTACTGTGCCCAGGGCCTCAACTGCTGAGGGCCTCAACTGCTGTAAAGACGGCCCTGTTTGTAACTGATCTTTAATGGAACGCATGTAGGTTCCTGAAAAGTAAAATATTTGGTAGAACTCCAAACATTATCGGAGAAATTAATCATCGTATCAATTCTCATTTACTCTTTTAGTGCTCTAACGCTTTCTTTCTATCATTACCGTGCCATGCATTTGTTGTTCACCAAATATAAGGAACCTAACAATAACATACAGAGATTAAAACATATCAGGAGACTAAAAAAACATACAGAGATTAAAACATATCAGGAGACTAAAAAAAACATACAGAGATTAAAACATATCAGGAAACTAAAAATAACATACAGAGATTAAAACATATCAGGAAACTAACAATAACATACAGAGATTAAAACATATCAGGAAACTAACAATAACATACAGAGATTAAAACATATCAGGAAACTAACAATAACATACAGAGATGCCAACAATAACATACACAGATGCCAACAATAACAAAAAGAAATGCCAGTTTTGTTCATTGGCCGTGAAGCATTACTGGCCTACATCAAAGGGTGCGTTTTTGTATCTTTGTTGACTACAACATTCCCGTTGCTTAGCCGTACGCGCCAACACAAGGGCCACATCTTCCAGACGGCACAACATGACGTTGCTAACGCACTTGGTGACATGCACACACGGACAAGTTTAAACTATCGGACAATGCGCCGATGGATCAGGCCCTTGTACTGAGCTTACTGTGATCGAATTTTAAATGTAACAATCTTGAACCATCGTGAAGAACAAACTGATGCTCATCTGTCCTGTTTAAAGTATTTATATTTTATTTATTTATTCAAATTTTGTGAAACGTAATAAGTAGGCTACACTTTTCTTTTTATCTTCTTGTCTCTGGTTAATGTATTATATGTTATTCAAATACCTTGGTCAAATTTGGCTTTTTATAGCCTTGGATATACTGATCGTTTCACAACTTTGCTCTCGGACATTAAATAATCCAAGTTTTATGATTTAGGAAGTTCTTCGGAGTCTGTAGTCTATTTATTCGGCATCTAAATGTAAACTACCCACTCTTTACTCACAAATAACTCACATACACTCTAGTCACAAATAACTCACAAACACTCTACTCACAAATAACTCACATACACTCTACTCACAAATAACTCACATAGACTCTACTCACAAATAACTCACCTACTCTCTACACACTATGTAACCCACAACCTTTCTACACACTATGTAACCCACCTACTCTCTACTTACAAATAACTCACCAACTCTCGACACATCATGTAACCCACCTACTCTCTACACACTATGTAACCCACTTACTCTCTACACATTATGTAACATACCTGCTCTCTACTCACAAATAACTCACATACTCTCTTCTTACCATGTAACCACCTATTTTCTACTCACAAATAACTCACCTACTCTCTACTCACCATGTAACCCACATACTCTCTAATCACAGTTCTGTTGTGTTTTTTTAAAGAACTCTGTGATCACATTGACGTCAGCATAAAGCAAACATTTTACCAGGTTGTAATACCACAGTCAACCTTGTCCAAACCTAATCTAAAATATTACCTTTGCGTTCATGAGCAACATGAATCGTCGCATGACATTATTAAATAATGATAATGTATCTAGCCATAACAAGACACCACGAATCCAAGATTATGCGTTAAAAAATGTTGTCACTCGAAGTGGTTATACTTTTTTTGAATGAGAATGGAAAAACTGCTGCAAGTCAAGTGATGTCTCCGTCAGGGTCATCATTTGGGTAGGGCAGGGTGGGGCATTTACCCCCCCCCTCCCCCCGAATTAGCAGATTTTATGTAAATTGCTATATAATTGCTAAACAAGCCCACAAAGTTTTGGTTTTGTTTTTTTTGAATGGGAATGGAAAAACTGCTTGAATTCAAGTGATGTCTCCGTCAGGGTCATCATTTGGGTAGGGCAGTGTGGGGCATTTTCCCCCCCCCTCCCCCCGAATTAGCAGATTTTATGTAAATTGCTATATAATTGCTAAACAAGCCCACAAAGTTTTGGTTTTGCCCCCCCCCCCCCGAAAAAAACCTGAAATGACGCCCCTGGTCTTCGTGGTATTTTTTTCTCTACAAAATTTGAATGAAGCCCGATATATTTTGATGCCCAACTGAGCATTTTATTTAAACCAAATTTGTAATTTTGGGGCCAGGGTATCCTGGGGTAGGGGGCGGGGTAAAGAGGGGGGAGGCATTCAATGGTATTTCAGAGTTTTAACGTTTATGTGATCCTTTAGGACCGAACTATGATCTGATCTTCCAGGTCCTAGCAACACTTCTAGCAATTTGATTAATTAGCAATTAGATCATACTGACCCCCACAGATTATAATGTCATAAGGAGGATATGTTTTATTTTTTACCCACGGTTTTAGTTTTAATGATGAAATAAAGGTACCCGGTATCCAATTACTGTGGCCAAAAATGACACACTAGAAATGAACTTATATAAAACATATAGATCCTGATACACCCCCCCACCCCCACACACACACTTTCCTGATTCTTCATTCTTTATTCGCATTGTCCGATAGAGGAGAGGAGGATAAACAACTAAGAACTTTAACTCCACTGTCTCCAAATAATTATTACTGCATAAAATAAGACCAGAATAATTAATCAATTCATCCTTTAAAAACTGAAAAGAATAAAAATGTAACATTTTCTAAGGAATTTAATGAAATAACTAATATTTCAAACATTTAAAGAAATACAGGTATTAGCCAACTAAATATAACAAAAATTTGATAAATGAACAAAAAAATAATCAAGAGATGAAATGTGAGACGAAAAAAAGAAATATTAAATGAGAAGATGACAAGCATTTATTAGCTCTTTGTTCAGCACATGACTGTTATTTATTTACAAATGTGTGATAAGTTTATGGTAATTAAAGAGTTATATAAATAAAAGTTAAAAATAAATCTTGTAAGGTAGACTATATCTGTATATAATTATAAAACATTTTATAACATTACAAAATGGCATCTGATGGCAGTCATTCATTCAAGAGGCTCACCAAAAAAAAATATTAAAAAAATAGAGAGAAATTTGATTTTAAAAATAATAGCAAATCAGCAGTTTCACCGTTTTATCATTGAAATAAAACAAATGGATGTAGGTTTTTTTTGGTTTAACTCCAGCAATGTATGTGATAATATTCTTTTTACAGCTAAAACATGACTGGAAGAAATGTCATGGAGTTCAATGGGAACAATTTGCAACATTATTGCTGTATAAACATTTAGCTGGAACTGAGATTCCTATCTGTATGCAGTGAGGCCAGCATTTAAAAAGAAAATAATTAAGAACACTATAAGCTAACATTGCTCAGTGAATGTTTAGACTTGTAACCTCAACTATTCAAGGTACATAGATATGTAGGCCTGCCTAGTCAAACTCCATATAACTTTTCAACATTTTTACAAAAGGAGCTAGATACAATTAAATGATCTATTATTCATCAACAAATTTTACCAAATAATGAAATATACTATAGTAATGATGTATTTAAAATAGTTTCTTTTTGGTTAAAACTAATTTGCAGGGGTTACATTCTTTATCTTGTTTAAAATAACACTATCTTTTGTCATCAGATGGTGGGCTCATAATGACACACAAATGTGTATCAAACTTTCCAATATTTAGCTCTTTATTTTTAAAAAGTGCTGGACAATGAAAAAAAAAAAAATCAACATATTTTATGTAAATATCACAGTCAACCAATGATAAAAGATTTTTCATATCACAGATGTTCTTATTCATGTACAGATGCATTATAAATAATGCATTGTAAATTTGCACACACATTTTTAAAATTATAATTTATGGATACAGTTCTGTTTAGAGATATAATACAGTTGGTTTTACAAAGTGTAAATTTGTTTGGTTGCTAAATTTTCCATATAATGTAATTATCAAATATGGAACATATAAAATATCAAATTATTAATTGTAATGAGAGAAAAAATGATCTGAAGTCTTGCATGAAACTGGTGCAATTTTAAACTTTCAATCAAAATATTTAAATTAGCAATTTATATTATAGGTTTTACTTAACTGTTTAACTGATGTTTGCAGCAGTAAATAGCAGTGAAAGCTGGGAGTTTTTCTTGGAACATAGAACAAAGCCACATACAAAAATTCAACCCATTCTCTCTCAAATTATTTTTGTTTCTATTTATTGATCTTCTATATATTTTATAGAAAATACAATTTGAATTCAGATAACTTATGGAAACTATTTTATTTTGTAATGAATTTGTCTTTATTTACATTTCCCAATATATTTTTTTTTATTTTCTGGTTTCTAAATTTACTTTCTTGATATAAATTTATAATACCACATACTCATCTCATACATTCAGCCCTTTTGTCTTTTTAACTATTACATTAGTAGCCACTTGAAAGTGAACTAATTAATATTTATCTTATCATGATAAGAACATATTTGTTTCCATCTCTAAGTAATTAAAATGTGTAGATAATTATTTCATGATTGTCTATAGAAAAAACAGGTTTCACAAATATATATCTAAAACAAATGATTACAACACATGAAGAGCTTTACACCAGTCAAACTTCAGACTTCAGGGGAACATAGATAATTAATTAAATATCCATCATTTTAATAGTATTGAAACTGCACAGATGCTTACTCCAGGACAGGAGATTACAAACAACTTAGAAACTTACTAACTCTCTTTTGAATAGAAAATTTGTTGATATTTAAAAGCTAGTAATCTGTAGTTTTCTAAATTTTAAGATGTAACAGTTAAACATTTTTAATTTTAAACATTACATTATTATGTAATTTAATTTTGAAGTCACTAGGAAACAAACCATCTACTGAAAGATTAAGAATAATTGCTTTAGATTCAGACTGATTAAAATAATTGTAAACAAAATAATTTTTTTTTGCCATATGTATTCAGGTTTTATTAAAGTAAAAGTTATAACCTAGCATATTCAGGTAGATTCTAGCTTAATAGTAAAATATTTTTATAGAATAAAAGATTGATGTTACCATGACAACTGAACTACTGTTGTATACCAGTAGTAAAGTGGTTGAAAATGTAGTAAAGTTTTAGTTATAAATGATTATTCATACTTTGAAATTGCTTTCATGCTTATTCATTCCTTTAAGTAGCATTTAAAAAGTATTTTACAAATCTGAAACATTGACTACTAATTAATTTTTAAGAGCTAGTATTAAGCTGCAACCAAACCTGCTGGGATTTTTGGTAAGGTGTTTACACTATTCCTGAGTGGGGTTGTCTGCTCATAAAGTGGGACATACTGCCTGTGTCCTTGGGGATCTGTCTCCACATACTTGAACCTGGAAGTATTAGCATCAAGTATAGCAGCCGGACAGATCTCTGCATGTTTTCTGACATACTCACTACGATACATGGTCGTGTCATCAAATGGTGCATCACTTGTCAAAGCCGTTGCATCTGGTTTCATGCTCTTCGTTGGTGCTATGGAGTGGGGAATGTAATGTGCTCTGTATGTGGCCGTGCCATCAAATGGTACATTACTAGGTACCCAGCTTTCCCTAGGTTTAGGCATCTCTCTCTGAAGTCCCCAAGGCTTGTAGTCGCTCGTGTAGTTAGTAAGTCCGTTAAACTCACCTTTTGACATGACATTTCCTTCCCCTGGCTTCATCAGAGCAACCTTCTGCAATGGGTGTGCTTTGTATTGAATGCGGTGAGTGGTATTGTGATCCATCTCTCCTTCTGGCTTCCTGTATTGTTCAGGATGATGAATGTATGGTTTCTCTCCATTCCATTTCCTGTAATCATTCTTAAAAGTGGTGAGGTCATCAAGAGGTGCATCTGACTGGAAAGCTTCAGAATTTGGCTTGCATGATTCCGTTTTAAGGGCCTGTTTTTTGGTGTAATCTCTGTTGAAAGTAGTCATCCCATCAAATGGTACAGCAGGGGCTTTATAGGGATCCTTCTCTCTGGCTTCCCGAAGTTGTAGTGGATGACGGATATAGTCATCACGATATCCTGTGTTTCCATCAAAAGGTGCATCAGACATCTGGTTGGCTTCAGCTGGTTTCATGCTCTTGCGGGGTGGTTCATTGTACTTACGATAATCACGAGTGAATGTGCTCTGTCCTTCAAAGGGTTGTGAAGGGGGAGCCCAGCCATCCTGTGCCTTTGGCTGATGTCTTTCAATGGGCCACTTCTTGTAGTCAACTAGCAGAAAAAAATTCAGTTGGTTAAAATCTATTCTTCAAAGTTACGAGACAAAGAATAAAAGGCGAATAAAAACTTTATAAAGCATTTTTTTTGCCCCTGGATTTTCTCAATTTATCAAATTAGTTACATTGAAAACCAAAGGTAATTCATCTCTTAACTCTTTTTATGTCAACATTTTATTTCCAATGAGTTACAGTAAAACTCTGACTCACATGAGAGTTGAGTTTTTGGGTCTGTTACATAACTAGTATTTTAAGAAAGTCAATATTGAAGTTTAAATAAGTACAACTTCTTAAGAAACTAAAATATTTTGATGTGGAGCAGTGGCCAATAACAGATTGAGAGCTTCAATTTTATTCATGAATGATATGATCACATTATTACTGGTGTGTCATTAAGCTTCCATGCTCCCTAAAGTAGTTTTTAGAAATTTCTTTAATTATTAAGCTAACATTTAAGTAGATTGACCTAAATGAGAATTTCGGAAAGTGGCATGTAGCATTAGTATTATTAGTTTAAAATTACGATTAACATATTTTAGGCAAGAAGTGAAATATCAGTTATATTGTAAAAGTAAAAAATGTAATGAAAAATGTTAAGTTTCTAAATAATTCAAAGGGGTTGTCAGCCACCACAAAGAATTACTTATATGATCTTTTAGAATATGTATTTGCATTTTTTGCGCTTAAATAATTAAAAATATATCTATTTAAGACACATTTTAATTGTTTTACAATTTTTAAATCTCTCTTTAAGCAGACATATTTCAAAATATTTGTGTTTTTTTTTTAGATTTGAAGTTATGATTTAATTTTTCCTTTTATATCCAACTTTTAGCACTTGCTCCATTACTCTATTGAATATTTTATGAAGTCAAATGCCTTTGAGACTTACTTTTATAAGTGGGTTCACCCTCAAACTTTGCTTGAGTCTGCCTCTGTCCTTCATGCTTAATCATTTGAGCTGGAGGGGCATGTTTCTCTGTTAACATTAAAAACAAAAAGGCATAATTAAATTAAAAAACCTTACAAATCTACTCATTTATTAAAAAATATAATTTATTCAAAACATTCAACAACAATACATGAAGAAGAATTTTTTTAATTAACCTTTATATAGAGGCTAACTGAAATTAATAAAATTATTGATGCTCTTAAAAAAATAATCAAATGATAATAAATTGATAAACTTAAATGTTAAAAATACCTGTATAGTCTCTATGGTATGATGTCAAAGTGTCTAGATCCCCATCAGGCCTCTTATATGGCTCATGCTGATGAGCATATGGCTTATCGAGAGGATGCTTGATGTAATCAGTACTGTAACACAATTTTGAAGATAGCATTAAAATTTTGAAAAATCTTTTACATATGTATTATGAAAAATGAAATTCATGTCATCAACCAAAATGAAATGATATCCATTCTAATGTCTCACCGAAATGTTGTTTTGTCTGAAAGTGGCTCTTCACTGCGAAGAGCAGATTGATCTGGTTTGCAGCTTTCCCGGGGTTGAAGTGGATGTGGCTTATAGGCAGTATTGTAGGATGTAACTAAACATTCCCCATAGTCACCTCCTGGACGCCATGGACGATGAGGGCAGTGATGGCGTCTGGTATGAAGAAATTTTACAGTTAAACATTGATAACAATAATAAAAATGGTTAGATAAATAGATTTTTTAGCATTAATGTTTTGGATTAATTTAATTACCATACACTTAACAATAAAGCTAGGTGCCAGAATGATTAATGCATTGATCGTGGGCCCTCAAAATATAGAAGAAGGAGTAATGTGTCTTCTATTTTTTAACAGCTAAGCTATGATTTTAATTAAATATCTAGTTTTGTCTTTAATTTCATTTTATATTAATTTAGTACAGAATTTTGTAACAACCATTTTTAATTTTTGCAAAGAAAAAATGTTTTAATTTTACTATTTATTATTAGTAGGTCTTTAGCAGAGCAATGAGATTGGTTAACTCTCTGCAGTCTGACGTTTTTTTCACATTTCTTAAAAATCTTAATGTGATTTTTTAAAATAATTAATTAACTGATCTGAAATAGCTCTGATCTGATCAGTTAAATATATTAACTTGTTCATCTTTGACTCGGCTATCATAAGATATTTTTTGTATATTTTATTTTCTTAGTTATAAAAATAATTGAAACATTATTGGAGAATTATTTTTTTTCATTTTATGCAAAAATTTGACCAAATCTTTACACAGTATGAAGGAAAAAAAAAATCCTTGTTATAAAAGATTTAAAATTTATTTAAATAAAATACTTCATCAACTTATACAATTCATAGTCAAACATGACAAAAATTCTTTGAACAATCAAAAAGTTGTCAACATTTTAGCAAAACCTATATTTTGTCTTTTTTTCCTAAAAAATGCACTATAATTTTTCTTTTAATGAAAATTATGTTTTGTATGTAATATATTTTAAAAAATGGGTCTCATAGCTTATAGATTTGTATATTAAATATATTTCTTAATAATTCTTGAGTAAAAGATGACTAAGTAAAATTTGATGAATATATAAATAACTCAAAACAAGAGTCAATTTTTTTTTTTTTAATTTTAAAATAGCGGTATTCGCTGATGTTAAAGTTAAAAAAAATTAAAATGTATCAGTACAATAATGCTAATTTTGATATACATGTCAAATACGATCCATTCCTCACTAATGTGATCTATTTTTTCCCATGTACCGGCATTTTTATATATCTTTGTTATAATCCTCACATAACACAGGCTGATAAACTACATTATTCCTTAATTATATTTATGGACTCTGAACAAATATTATTTCTTAAAACAGTCTGCAGTTTTATTATAATAATTATATTTGATAAATAAAAGCTTGTCCTGGACTTGATTTCTACATAAGATTAGGTAAGATTTTTCACCACAGAATATTCACTCAATAAAGAACCTGTGGAAAAAAAAAATTTGATTGATTCATAAATAAATTAACACTAATGGTATCAGTAATGGTATGCTATCAGTAAGGGAAAATACCATTAATCCTAGTCCAAGTGCCTAAATTAGTATAAAAGTAAACCATTGTACATAGAAAATACATTATAACATATGTTATAACAATATTGTGAGTTTATTCTTTATGCATTTTGCTACCAAGTGATTAGATTAAAACTTACCACCACTTGTTTTTAGGGTAAAATCTTCAAAGATATTCATCCAGTAACTCTGTAACTCAGTAAAAGGGTGGAGTCCAGGCTTAATATTTAGGATCAATAAGGAATAAGGGCTTCTTGATCCAATATCTGCATTTTTGTCTCTCTCTCCTCCTTCCCAATAGAGTTAGAGAGCTTTTAATAAAAACATAAATGTTTTTTTTTTTATTCTGCCGACAGTAGTCTCTACTAATACTAGTGACTAGCGATAATGATAATTAAATTTAAACACATTTCTACTATGCAATATTAGAAAATTTAGAAGATTATTCTTGGCTGTAACATATTTTAAAGAAATATATTTAGTTAATAACTCAGAAGTCCTTAACTTTAAATTTATTTAATTACGCAAGTTCCAATCGACCGAAATTTTCCGCTATTTTTTTAAAATATTTATTTCGCATAGCGACGCTATTTATTTATTATATAATTATTGAAACTCAATAAAATTCAAATAGAATACATCAATGTAAGTATAAATGGATAATATATACTTCAGCCAATTAAAATTATAAAAATATCACTTTATTGTTTTATTATTAATTTTAAAGTCGGGAAATGATAATTAAAATTAAGCTTACTTGTTTACGATAGCATTAGTCGGTACTTTTATATGCAAATCGTGATAAATTTCATGATTAGAGTCTCCATTTGGATACATTGCTTTAGACAAACAAATAACTCCTTGATAAATCGGGAAATTAAAATCATTTGACAATATTCATACTACTATTTAATTTTTTTTGTGAGACTTATATTTTTTGTTTTTTTGGAAATCTGCGAAGCTTTCAAGGGATACTCCGCGCTGAATAAATTTCCAAAAATATTTTTTTTAAATAGTAATTTCAAATTTTGTAATAATTTTAATTTTTTTACAAATACTTAAGCCAATGAAACAAATTATTAAAATATAATTAATAATTTTTTTCAATAAAAAAAAAAGTTAAAAAATAAATAACCCACCCACAAAATCTATGGTACTTATATGTACCATTTCTCTATAGTCGGACTGCAGAGAGTTAATGTCAATAAAAAATTTAATTCACAGTTGAAATCTTACTCAAAAGAAACTGAGTATAACTTTGAATACATTTTAGTCACATTTAATCTTTTTGCATAAAATTGTGTACGTTGTTTCTAAATAAATTTTCATTATTAGCAATATCTAATTCTTGGTAGACATTAAAATAAAGTTAAAAACACTGAATGTTAACAATCATAAGTTTTTTTTTAAATAATTAAATAGCCACCCCACATTGCATTTTGTTTGATTTCAGTACATTTAATATGATAAATGGTTGCATTTTAAAATTTTGATTTTTTAATTTTCTTATCTTCTCCAGATAGTAATTATATTATTTTTTTTAGTAATCTCAAAGATTAACATGATGGAAAAAATATTTTTTTTTCAAATTAAATTTGCTAATCCACTTGTAACATTTGTAAAAATCTCAAGGAACATTTGTATAGTCTAAATTGCCCATACTATACAAGAAAACATATCTTTTTACTTTTGGTTACTAACATGAAATAAGAAAATCAAGAAGTAGGCCTATAATAATTTTATTTACTTTTAATAGAACTTTATGTATTTTTTTAATGAAAGAGTTATTGTTAGATAGCATCTAAAATTTTCTTTTTATAATTTTGTTTGTATACTTATAGGAACTCTCTGTGACTAGACTAATACAAAGATGGGATAATTGGTATTAATGCTCGTTTTCTTGGATGACAAGAAAAATTTGAATTTGATATTTAAATGTTCAAATTTTCAGGTTTAGTGTCAGCAAGACTAAAGTGATGAATAATTCAAATTACACATTATTTTTCTAATCATAAAACATTTTTGGCATCATAAAGGGTAACATAATGATTTACAAAGCTTGAAATTATGCTTGGATTTCTTTTCCAATAGGGTTTACCATTTCTAAGACTGCAAAACGTCCCATCGCTTTACATAATGCTACTATATTTAGACAACGTCTTCATAAAACATAGCTCCTAACAATGTGTTTCCGCAAATATATAGCAGATAGCAGTTGCAATTGGTTTGTAAAATGGTTCCTACAATACAGTTTTAAACATGTTTTTGTGTAGGTTAAGACACACTATGCTGGCTCACATTAACTTAGAATGAACTAACAGCTTTTAGCCACATGATGTTTTATAAATATCTTAATGAGATTTGTCAGGCTGTATGTCCATCCAGTCATCCAGCATTAAATGAAAAACCCTAGAACAGTTTTTCTTAAAGCTTTACAAATATTTGTGTTAAAAATGTCTTATTTTATTATTAGATGTTAAACATTTTTTTGCCTATATAATTTTTTTTAACACTTCGTTTACCTTGAGTTTCCAGTTAAATTTGCTTTTTAAAAATTTTTAATAGCTTAGTCATAGTTACTGACTATTTGAAACCAGGAACCACGTAAAGAAAAATTTTCAACAGACCACTGTGGATTGTTTTGTGTTTGATTAATACAAATGCAAAAATATGTGCTCTATGTCACTGAGAAGCCCAGTTGCTAACAAGCGGCTTGAAATCCCTGGATTATTTCAGAAAATTACCACAAAACTTAGAAAAAAATTGTCATATCCCCACAGTTCCTGGCACAGTATTTTTTAAAATAGAAACTCTACTTAAATATGAATAGGCATGGCATGTAAATAATAAACTTAAAAAAATATTTAGCAAAATTACACTTTAAATTTAAAATTTTAAAATTTAATTGAGATCCATTATTATTATCATTGTCAAAATCAAAGATTCAAGGTGGTTAAATAAGAGTGTAAATGGTAAAATAAAAACTAATAAGCCTATATTTAAATTTCAGTGGCAATAATCAAGTATCCTAGTCCTAGTAGACCGTAGTAGTCATTGATTAAATGATTATAATTTAAGTAAGGCCAGCATAGGGCCCTTACAGAAACTTGGTTTAAGTTAAAGGCATCAGACGGTAAGAACAAAGAATAAGATTTCAGAAAGTCTCACTGCCTCAGCTAATATGAGCAAGCAAACCCATTTAATTTAACTACTTTAAGTAAGCAAAAATACTTACTTTAACTTTAATTTACTTTATTTACTTTAAAAAACTTGAAAATAATCAAACTTGATCTTAATATTTAATTTATTATTAAAAATGTACTTACCCACAAGTGCATATTTCACATACACATCGTTTACCCATGATTAAGTAAGAACTATTGGGCAATTTAAACAATTTAGTACTCAAACACACTTCGCTTGCCCGAGCTTCCTTGCAAAACGTATTGCCCCCTTCTTGTCTCTAGGCGCCACTATGAAACTGTTTATTCAAAATGGCTAACCTAGCAACTAACAACTTATTGATTTAGCCAAGGGGTATATCATTGGGGAAAATAACGACACTTTGAAAAAAGTAATAAATACTATATTTTATATCATTGTATGTATGTTTTTGAATTTTTTAAATCTTTATTTTTGATATATTTATAAGAAATAATTTTAATTTATTACAATTATATTATTTTTATTTATTAAGAAATATAAAGCACTCGTGGGTCACTCCATAAATATTATTACTTTACAGGGGAGGCTACTCCACAGCAACATACTGACTACATATTTATTACTCTCGGATATAAATGGTTGTTTGTGTCCCTTATATTAAATTTAAAAAAAAAAAAAAAAAAAAAAAAAAAAAAAAAAAGAAGAATACGGTATAATTTGCAATACATGTATTTTAAAATTTAATCCACTCCCGGTAAATGTTTAGAATAATGCACGCCATCTCGGTTGAAACAACCAGTTAATTATGTCATTAATGTATCCCTAAATCGATCCCTATGCCAAACCTGAACTCTAAATCAAAATCGATCCCTCAACCTAACCTAAACACTAATTCACTGCAACTATAATAAACACGTAAATGACGCCATGGGCATAATTCTCAAACGCCCCCCCCCCCCAAAAAAAAATAAATAAAAAAATAAAAAAAAAATCTGAACTCTAAATCAAAATCGATCCCTCAACCTAACCTAAACACTAATTCACTGCAACTATAATAAACACGTAAATGACGCCATGGGCATAATTCTCAAACGCCCCCCCCCCAAAAAAAAAATAAATAAATAAATACATAAAAAAGAGAGTGTCTCCCTAAAACACTTCCTTGACTCTTCTTTCATTGGATGGCTCCTGTGGCAGTGTTATTTACTTTAATACTATTATAAATTATAGGTATAACATAGTTACGGAATATTTAATATTTAGGTTTTATCTACACCCTTCTTTTGCTGCTGTTAGTGTTGTGTTGCTACCACAGTATTTGATAACCTCTTCTTTCTTCTCTTTCGTAAATTTCAAGTTCTGAACTCAGAATTTTATCCACGCAAGATTGATGGAAAATTGTTTCACATCCGCTACTCCGTGTATCATGAGTAAGTTACAAAGGTTATCTTTTGAAGTTATTGGAATTAGACTTAAGCTGCCTGTAAGTGTGCTCAAACCTCACTGCACTAGAAGAAGACACCCGTCTCAAAATTATCATCATGCAGTAGCTGAGAATTTTAAATACTTTGGGGTCCACCATTTCCAGCTCACCATTGACGAAGAGGTGAACGGCAGATTGAGCAAGAAGAACTAAATTAGTCTAAAACAGCCCTAATCTACCAGAGGACAAAGCGGTGTGTCCAACAGGTAAATGTTCTCAGAACAACCTCTGCAACAGTGAGGAGCAGTCAAACTCTACGAGCCATGTACGTTACCTTAAAACAACTTCCAACTAAGATGTGTATCTAGTGGCAGGACAGAAAATCGTATACATAGGGTGTGACAACGTGTACAATGTGTTGTGGTTTCAAGTTATGTCCCCCCATGCTCTTATTCAGAACATTTATCCGTTTTGTGAAACATGCAATCTATTTATATTGTTGTGTGGGCCAACATACAGGTGTGTGGGCCAACATACAGGTATGTGGGCCAACATACAGGTGTGTGGGCCAACATACAGGTGTGTGGGCCAACATACAGGTTTGTGGGCGAACATACAGGTGTGTGGGCGAACATACAGGTGTGAGGGCCAACATACAGGTGTGGGCCAACATACAGGTGTGAGGGCCAACATACAGGTGTGAGGGCCTAATCGGATCCCATTGGGATCTTGACTCCAATTGGGATCCCATCGGGATTCTGATCCAGATTGGGATCCCATTTCCAAATGGGATCGCAATGGGGTTTCTGACCACATTGGGATCCCGACCCCATGGGATTCCAATCCCGATTGTGATACCGATTTTGATTGGGATCCCTTTCCCTAAAATGATCCCATTGGGATCCTGATCCCGATTAGGATTCCGTTTCTTGTTTGGGATACCGATTTAGATTGGGATCCCTTTCCCTAAAATGATCCCATTGGGATCCCAACCCCACTGGGATCCTGAAATGGGATCCCGAAAGGATCCCTGTTTCCAAATCGGATCCCAAAAAGGATCCCCATTTACAAATGGGATCCCAACGCCATTGGATCCCCATTCTAAATGGCATCTCATATCCTAATGGGACTCCGACCCCTGTGGGATCTCAAGCTAATTGAGATCGTAATGGGATCATATTTCCAAGTAGGGTACCACTTTCAAAATTGTACGCTTTTTCAGGCGGGATCCCGATGATTAGGATCCTGTTTCCCGTGGGATCCTCTTCTCTGATGGGATCCCGTTTGCCACAGGATCCCTATTTGATCCCGTCAATAAGTTTGGTCAAGATCCATCAATTTATGTATGAGTATTTGTTGTTAATTTTATTTATAAAGCTCACCCATAATCCATCCACAATCCACATATCATCCATCCATCATCCACCCATCATGCATCCTGTGACTTTTTTTCCTGTGACATTTTTTCCTGTGGCTTTTTTCCCTGTGACTTTATTTCCTACAATCGGTCAAATTCCCTGACGATGTATCATAAAATTTGGATTGTGGCACTTGATGGCAAACACACACTGCCACATAAACAATTCATGTTTTTACAAACAATTGAGCTCAGAAGTTTCGCTTAAGCTTAAAGTTTTCCAGCACTCAGAGCAGCATTGTGGCACCCCAAGTTGGCGTGGCACCCATAATTTGAAAACCACTGCTTTCAGTAACTCTTGTGGTCAGTGAGTTATCCAGAGGAAGGTTTTGGACAACACACTGGAATACAGAAGTCCTACATGAGCTGTGTTTATACCATATTCTTTTTGTTGCCGTGATATCGCAGGCCAACTGGGATGGATTTTAACGGTTAGTTTTAGTCTTAATCAATATAGGCCTATAATTGAACATTTGAAATAGAAACTTTGATATTGATAGATGTAAATTAATAAGATGTCATGTAATAAATTCCAATAAGGATTAATTTATGTTTAAGGCATAATGTATCTGAGACATTAAAGTATAAAGTAGCTAGAAATGCAAGAAAAAAAAAAAAGAAAAAAAAACAACTTTTTAAAGCACTAATCTGAGAAAGGAATATATATTACTCAGTTTCATAGCACAAATTGAAATTGTCCATTTTACAAAAGACCAGTTTTTAAAATGGTTGAATGGATGAGAGGTGGTCATTTTATGGTATCATGAAAAATAGTTAATGAAAGATTCAATTCAGAGTGGAAAATGGAGTGAAGCACTTTCAAAATATCATCATCATCAATGAAGCTACAGCCCTTGGAGAGCTTTGGCCTGCTTCCCAAGATACTTCCGCTTAGACCCATTCATGGATTTTCACCTCCATGTTAATCCGATCCAACATCCATCTTCCTGTCTCTGTCTACCATCAGCCTCCTTTTTTGTCTGTATGTACATCACTTTTGCTCCTCTATGAACTACTTTCAAAATATACCTTGCTTCTTTGTTAAAACAACTTCACAAATGTCATACCAATAAACAGCATAACCATTTAACCATTGTTTCTTGGTGCCCTTTTTTAAATCTCTCCTGGAAGTGTTCTTCAACCTTTGCCAAACTTGGTCCGCTTTCACCAACAATTCAATTACGTATGAGCAAAAATTATGATCAACTATGAATACTATTTCCTCTGTGAAGAGAGACATTTCCAACAAAAACTACTTAACACTTCTTCCCTTCCAGTGTAGGGAGCACATGGGAGTTGGAGTAATGCACAACTGACAAATCCACTCAAACAATCAAGATGTGGATGTGGGAATTTCAGTAGGTCTACTGTTACTTTTGGAACTTAATAAACGTAATTAAAAACAATTTAAGCAATTTTTAATATGTTATGAAACAAGCAAAATCATTTTCTTCCATTTAATTAAAATAATAACTCATTGTAATAATGATAATGGAAATATATATATTTTTTTTAAATATACAAATGAGTTAAGGTAAATCTTATTAAGTTTACCCAAAATACTTTTTATCCCTACATCCTACCTCATCTTGAGCACTATATGACGGATATATCAAAATCAGTTACGAAACTAGAATAGAAAAATCTGTTTAAAGTTTCTAAAGAAGTGTTATTTTGAAAATTATCACTCACCATCTCAAAAATAATTCTTTAAATACCCAGTTACTATAATTAGATATATCAAATAATATTTAAGTGTGTATTTATTTTTTAAAATGTAAAAATAAGCAAGTTATGATATTTTAAAATTATTAACATAGCAGCAAAAAATATACTTTTAAAATGAAGTTTTTGTTTTAAATATAAGATGATACAAATAAATGATTATAATAAAATGTAAATTCATTGTAACTATTTGAATAATGGGGCTTTAAAATACATTAGAAGGTGAGATAGAATGAAATTTAAAATTACCGATTGTATTACAAATGAAGCAAAAACATGCAGTGTTTGAACTACAAATGGTTGGGACTGGGATTTCAATTAATTAAATTTTAAAAATGGATTATGATGTATTAATTTTCAGGTCACATTCAAGATATACAATATTTGACTTTTTCAAAATTAAATATTTTTATATTTATGTTAAATGGATGATTATGGTCCCCAATAGAGTATAATTGAGATTGATTGAAAATTAACTATTTAATTTAAATATCACAGTTGAAAAAGTACAAGGACTTGTCTAAAGTGTTGAAATTTTAATTTTGTTTACCAAACCTTGAGGTGGGGAAAATATATAAAATACACATGAAAGCTGTTAAATATTGAATTATGAATTTTAATTAAGAAGTTATACTTTTTATAATGTCCATGTATTTAAACACATATACTTCATAAAAGTAGTAATTTGAAATAGAGTAAATTACATCTATTTTATTTAAAGAAGCTAAGTCCAGTTTGGATTGATTTCTGTTTGGTACAGATCTATAAAGAAGTAGAATTTAAAAAAAAATCAATTAAAAATCAAAT